TCTCTCTCTCTCTCTCTCTCTCTCTCTCTCTCTAACCCAGAGAGCCGCTGAAAAGATGAAATCCGAGAATCCCACATCGGCCGGCAACGAAAAGGTCCGACCTTTCAACAAAAAACAGAACTCCAAAAAGCCATCTACATCACTGCATGCCCCATTCCCTCTTTCTCTCTCTCCCCCTCCTCAAAACCCACTCTCTGCATGCTCTGCTCTCTCTCTCTTCCGTTTCTGCAAAGCAGGACAACTCCCTCTGTGATTTTACACATGGGTTCTGATTTTCTGCAAATTTACAGAGGAAAGAGAAGCTTGGAGAATGAATCACAGCGCTGCAGCTCGTTTCACCATACAGCAAGGTGAAATTGCAAAACCCCAAATCAACCAACCCCAGTTACATTTTTTTCAACCATATTTTTGGAAAATTCACCCAAAAAATCTGATTTTTTTTTTTTTGGTGTTCTTCTGGGAAATTGGACAATTGAGTGTCTGCAGACGGACACGGCATCGGTGCTTCACGAAGCGATGGGATACATCAGATTTCTGCAGGAGCAGGTTCAGGTGATGTGCTCGCCTTACCTTCAACGCATGCCTTCGAGTTGAAACCCTTGGGTTTAGTCTCTGCCATTTGTGTGTGGGTGTATCATCAACATTGACGACGAACTCCGGCGAGAGCCGTTGAGTTCGAAGCCTGGGTTTTCATTTTTTTTAAATTTATTTTTTTATTTTTTTATTAATATTTTTTATTTTTATTAATTTTATATTGTGGCTGACGTCGTCCTGATGTCAGCCCACGTCACATTCCCTTCGAGCTCTCGGACTGGCAATTCCTGCCGGGCCTGTTGCTTGGGCCTAGCCTGTCCCTCGGGCTGGCATACGCTCGACCTTATCCCCCGGCCTATTTGGCCCTGTTCCATCCCCAGTTCACCGGGTAATACACCATGGTGGAACTGCTCTTAAGCAAATTTTTTCTACGAAACATGATCGAAAGCACTTTTGGTGATATAACATGCTTAATTATTTTAAGGCACTTCCAAACATGCCCATAAAAAATATAAATATACTATTTTTAAACTAATAAGAATTTTTACCTTTTTCAATCAACCATGATGAGAAGCGTTTTTGATAATTTAAAACGTGTTCTCAAGACTTGACTCAATTTGAAATAATTTACATTTTCCAATAAAGATGCTCTTGCTTTCCACTTATTAGGTTAGATTGGAGAAATTCTTTATTATGACGGGAATACAAGTGGTACATCACGTATTTTAATATAATTGGTGGAAAAAATTATTTTTTAAGTTATTAACTTTTTAGCACACATATCTTACCATTTGTATAATGACACGTGGTATACCATCCCATGTACCGATCGCACTGAAAAATCTCTGGTTAGATTGAGTCAAGTCCTGATAACGTGTTTGCTAAGTTCCTATATGTATTGTAAAAGATGAATTGATAATAATACTAATAATTGACCAAGAAAACAAAGTATCCATTTCAAGTTTGATGATCCTTTCCTTTGTGCGAAAGGTTAAAGGACAAATGGAGACATATGGTGATGAAAAGGACGGCACCAGCACTATTATAAGAAAGGTATAAAGACAAGAATAACACGAGCCAGTAGATGGTGATGGATGTAATGGCCCTTACCAAGAATGGTCGATGTTATTTTTCAATAAAAATTGCTGTGCACCATTCATTCAGTTTTAATTTCATTTGAGTGAATCTGAGGGAGGGACTATCTTCATCTTCAAGCCTTGTGATCCTCTACATTTACAGTTTATATCATAATTCAAGAAGAAAAATGCAGACGTGAGAGCGTGGTTGCGTTGGACAGAGAGTATACATGATTCATGCATTTGCATTTGAGTTTGAAACATTATAAATAATTCAGGAAAGGAGTTTGGGAAGCATGCTCACAAACCAATATCCTATCTACTAGGATATTGGACCACATGATTATTCGGCTAAGTAAGGAATTGTTTTTTGGAGAAAGCTTTTCAGGCCTAGCGTGGTTCACCACCAACCTCACTTGTATTGTTTTCAATTTAGCCACCTATTACTAGATGCAAGGTTTATCATAAAATGTCTCGATGATATTTACTTACATGAATCAAGTGTGTACCGTTTTGTAGGATCTTTTTTGTACTTGTGTTCTTCTTTTTCATGATGATTCATGAGAAAACTTTCCAAGTGTGCCTCTAGGAGTATTCACACTAATACACCAACGACAGATGACAGTATGAGGAATTCGATTGTCTTAACAAGATCATTCACTTGGAACAATTAGTTTAGGCGACACAAGGTGGCTTTCGATTTTGGATTTTTCTCTCTTTTCTTTGAGAGACAAAACTTATTTCACTTAGCATATTAGAGAAAACACAAGTGTTATAAATAGACACATTGCTACATCCTCTAGTCGTGCCTCCCTATAGGGTTTGACTCTTACGTCTTGTGCTTTGTGTCAAGCCCATTCCTTTGCTCACCTTGAGCTTGTGACTCGGACCCCTTTTTAATTAAATAAAGTCCAAAACCTATTTAATTAAAATCATGTCTAAAATGCCCAAATGATTAATCCAATAAATTAACAAATAATTACATCATTCATGTAACACCATTATTACTATCATAGGTGTGTGACATCTTAGATTCGAACTAAAGATGACAGTGAAAATATTAATTAATTTAATACCACATGTCATGAGTGACATCTAGCACCATGTCATGGCTACCTGAATTAGATAGAAGTATTCGTGATATAATCATGATACTCTTTCGAACCTTGATTATATTTACAATGCAATTCGATTCTTCTATTATCCATATCCCGATCAAATTTTATGTAAGATGGATGTTACAAATGTGCGCAAAAGCCAATCATTATTTGATACTTACAAATATTTCACATGTTATACTATTCTAGATTAATCCATGGACAAAGATTATTGTTTAAAGCCATTCCATTAAACGTTTTACACCTAAACGATAAGTCCAAGAAATATGTAAATAAGATAATGTAATATAAATAAATTAGATTCATGAGACATTTCTCTTTCGTACAGATATCCTAAACGTTTAGGATCATTGAATTGCAAATTGGGCATTGATAATCCAGATAATCAGTATACTATGTCTTCTTTTCAGAGATTGATTGTTCTCGAGTCATTGGTGAAAAAGACACCAAGGCAAGTATGTAAGTGCTCAATAGAAATTAAGTCCATTGAACACGATCAACCAGGAGTTCTCATACCCGTGTCATTTAAGAACTCACTAGTTTGGATAATGCAAAGTAGTCCTTTAACCTAAGACACCACAATGTTCTTCTGGTTAGGTCTCTAATCTTTGACTATGTAAATGCACTCTGATGTGTGAGGGTGTCTACTGCATCATTGGGATTAAGTTACCCAATCATGGAGGCATGTGAGGGTACACCAAGGGATCTCTAATTAATCTTCCCACCATTTGAAGGAGAATGCTCTAGGATATGATTAAGAGTTTATGACCATAGCACATGGATTCAATTCAGGAAGTACGCTCCAAATCACACTTAAAGTAATCATATAGACAAGAGAATCACTTTTGATAACAGACATGAATAAACTATTAACCAAACAATGTCAATATGAGTATTGATATAGAAAAGAACCGTATGACATTTGTGAACACGAAATTTCCCGCAACAAATGAAACAATAACACGTGTACATAATAATATATGTATTAAATTAATGTTTATGGTTACAATCTTTGTGATTTATTCTCCTAGAAGAATATTCCTCTGATTCAATCTCCAAGGTAGAATTCGACTCAAGGGCGATGAACACTCGATCTTCGGATTTGAACAAACCAAGAGGAGTTTCACGTGGTGGGTCGTCTTCGGCTTTAGTGGTGGATGAATCGGCACATGTGTTTGTGCCTGTTGATTCTCCATTAGCTTGATAAAGAACACTAGTGTTGGGGTATTTGGTATTTGCTTTGGCTAGAGAGTTTTCTGGTTTTCTTCAAGATTTTAGACTTGCTTCATTTGTCTCCAATCTTCTTTATTATTGAAAATGAGCCTAGTATTTATAAGCGAGCAATTGAGTCTTAGTTTAGAATCTCCAATATGAATCTCGTAATTTGTGGGATTGATTTTCAGATTTGATTTAATAAGTACTAATTATTTAATTTAACTCTTAGTTAATTTGAATATTTAATTTAGGAAGTTAAACCCTAATTGATATAATTTGATCAAATTAAAGTTAGTTTGTCTCCTTTTTAATTTCACTCATAATTAAATCAGAATCTTTAATTCACAAATCAATACTAACGAATTTTTAGTTTATGGACTAAACCTCCAATAAAGCTAAAAATTTAAGAACTATTGCTTCAGTTACCTCTTTTAATTAGTTGGATAGTTGAACAAAAATAATCAACAAAACTAAATACATACTTGTCAACAATGGCAGTCTGAATATCATTTCCCCTACTAATTATCTGCCATACAAGTACAAAGGTCAATTGGATGTGTCCATATCGAAAGAGACCATCTCTGGATTTCTTCCTCTAAAGCCATCAAATCGAGTGATATAAATTTTTGAAATTTGATCAAACGGTAAAAATTATTATAATTTTTACAAGTTTTTATTAACTTCTCTATTTTTAATTGTTGGATCAAATTTCAAAAACATAGATCACTTGATTTGGTGGTTTTGAAGGAAGAGATCCGACGTGTGCATAATGACCATTGCATCAATTTTTTTCACTATACAAATGGATGAACATGAGCTGACAGTATATCAATCCAATTCCAATTTCAGCCCTACACTGACAGCAATTTGGAGTTTCTCTCACCAACTTTTAGATTTAAAAAGTTTTTTAAATAAAGCTCACGAGACATTCTGATAGATTTTCAAACGCTTCAAAAAAAAGGCCATCCACAAACAGAAACATTACATAATAACAAAGGAAAAATTATACGTAGCAGTCCCATATAAAACAAATACGTGAAAACAAATTTGAGAGAGAGAGAGAGATCTCAACAAAATTTGTGGTCGATATCCATCCGACCTGTTTAGACTCCCACTATCAACAGCAAAAAGCAACAAAAACCCTTGAAGGATCCAACCTCATTATACAACTTGTCTGCCCCCCCTCTCATCTCCTCTCCTATCCTCCATTCTTTATACAGTACCTACCGGACGGGAAAAGAGCATAGCTACTCCGATGGAGCAGTACTTACTGGCTAGCTGCTAACCCTAGAGGGCGAGCCGTACGCTTGAATTTTTTTTTTTCAGCAGACTAGCTAATTTATTAGCTACTGGTGCTGTAAATTTTGATATATATATTTTTTTGCATCTGGAAATTAACCAGAAATAATTGCTTGATGCTTCTTTTATCACCTTTGAGGGAGGGTCATCATCATCATCAGCTCAAAGATGAAAAACAGTTAGGTGATGATGGTGACGTGGAGAGTAGTTTTGCTTTTAATGGCGGAAATAACACAGTGCTTGATTTCCCAGAGTTTTCGGGAGGAATGGGAATGGGGAATCTGCTGGATAGCATCGACTTCGATGACCTCTTCGTTGGCATCCATGACGGAGACGTCTTGCCGGATTTGGAGATGGACTCGGAAATACTTGACTTTTCAGTTCCAGCACCCGCCGACGATATCAACACAAAAACAACACCACCACCACCATCCAAAGAGGAAGAAGAGGTTGCTGATGATTACTATAATACTACAAAGACTAGGACGACGTCGTCCAAAGTGGAAGACCAGGAGGAGGAGGATTTGCATGGACATGGTGAGGTTGCTGCAGCCGCAGTTAGTATAACGAGTACTAATAATAATTCAGGGTTGAATCAGAATTACTCCAGCTCCAGTACTACTACTACTCCGGATCATCGAGGAGATCAAGAAATAGTGAGTAAAAGAGATGATATTAATCAAATTAGGGCAGCTCATCGTCCCTCCTCCGGATCCACCCGAAGAAAATCAGCTGACCACAAATTAGCAACAAAGTCTTCACCCGCAGCCCAATCCAAAAAGTCTCATGGGAAGCGAAAAGTTAAGGTAAATACTAATATACAGCTTAGCTTTTATAATTATCAATTAAATTTCTAGGTTTTGCAGTACTAGTGTTACTTTAGTTGGATGAAATATATATATATATGAGAAGCTCGTACTGTGTAATACGTATAGATAACAACTCTCTCTCTCTCTCTCTCTGGGTCATGGGATATTCACTAACTTCATCAACTGCAAAGAATTCACGGGAATCACGCAGGAGCGGATTGTAATGTGTTCATTTATTTTCAAGTTTGTGAATGGCAATGTTCTAAAAAAGTTAAAGAATGACAATAATTGAGGGTAGAGAGAAGAGAGAGAGTTGTTTTTTCTTTTGTATCTATCTTTTCAACTATTTGGTAACTTTTAAAAAGGTTTTTGCTATTACATATGCATTGTGGGATCTGAAATTGAAAAGGGTTTTGGTTATTGAATTGTGTGTAGGTGGATTGGACACCAGAACTGCACAGGAGGTTCGTGCAAGCAGTAGAGCAACTAGGGGTGGATAAGGCAGTCCCTTCTAGGATTCTAGAGCTTATGGGAATAGATTGTCTCACTCGCCACAATATTGCTAGCCACCTTCAAGTACAATACTTTCCCTTTAATTATATTTTCCCCACCTATAATTCTATACTACTATATTCCATCTCTAGCTAATCTCGTTAATTAGCCTTTACACATAACATATATACTGTAGATGGTGCTTAATCGCAATGGTGGAAAGTAATCATGCTTATGCACCATAGTGCATATTTGATTCCCACTCATCCCTCTCCCCCTAACAACCAACAATTTATCCACTGATGCTATTGTTTGTAAAAATAAACGAAGAACATGAAACTAGCTGTATATAGCTTATTCATTTGTCAGCCTGCATTTTAATTTTTTTGGTTGTATTTTTGGTCTCTTATTTAGTTTAGAGAAAAGGATAATTTCCTTCAAGATTGATATTCCAACGAGCGGTATAAAATAGGGTTTTTCTCTAAAGAGAAACAAATCTATTTGGGAATTACAAAGACGTTTGTTTCTTTCACGATTTTGGAATTCGTTTTAGTTACATTTCCAATACATTTAATTTTATAAATTATCATTTAATGTGCAGAAATATCGGTCGCATAGGAAACATTTGCTAGCCCGTGAGGCAGAGGCAGCTAGCTGGACCCAGAGACGGCAAATGTATGGGGCAGTAGCTGCTGCCGGAGGAGGAGCAGGAGCCAAGAGTAGAAGGGACATCATGATGATGAATAACCCTAATTGGCTTAATGCACCCACCATGGGTTTCCCTTCGATAACTAGTACTACACCTCCTCCCATGCATCACGCTCAGCACTACCACCAGTTGATCAGACCCTTACATGTGTGGGGTCACCCCACCATGGACCAATCCATGATGCACACGTGGCCGCCAAAGCATCATCTTCCCCACCATTTCCCATCTCCAGTACTACCACCTCCTCCACCAGCTCCTGCACATGCATGGCCTCCTGGTCCGCCACCTCCTCCAGACGCTTCGTACTGGCACCACCCTCACTCTCACCACCAGCGTGTAAGTTCACTATGTATTCATCTCTCTCTCTAAATAAATTGGTTTAGTTCTCTATCTCTGTGTCTAATTAAGTAAAGTGCTTCTTAGTATAATTCTCTATCTCTAGGTCATTTCCTTTTTCAGTTTTTTGCGTCATTTGTTTATATTTGTTAAAAATAAAGTCTAATTGGTAACTGTATTCAGTTTTCCAAACTGAAAGTTGCAAATTAAATCGCAAATTTTTGAAACTTTATTACAAAAGTTGTTTTTAGTTTTCAAGAACTAAAAATAGTTGTTAAACAAGTTGACTTTCTTGGTTAGAGTAGTGTGCTCCATCTTCTACACATGTTTGAATATTTTTCGTAGTTTAGATAAATTTCTATATATCCTATTGTTTTGTACATATAAAAATGAAAAAAAGACTTTAATTCAATCAACATTGGGTTCTAAAAAATGAGTACTAAAATGTATTTATGACTTGATGGTCTAGGCTCTGGACTCACCAACTCCAGGAGCACCATGTTTTCCAAGGCAGCAGTTGGTTGCTCCGACGGTAACTAATCATTCCTTACACTTTTGGTGTTAGTAGTTTTTGTTGGTACAAATACAATACAGTGAATAACCTTTTTGGAACATTAAGTACATACCATAGATTAGGTGATACGTTGGATGGCATCTTTTGTGAATGCATGTGATTGTATTTTGTACATTGGCTGAATTACTTTTGTTGAATTTGTATGATGCAGCAGAGATTTCCCACCCCACCTGTCCCAGGCATTCCACCACATGCCATGTACAAAGTTGAACCTGCAGGCATTGCTGCCCCCACTCCACCACAATCTGGTCCTCACCTTCTTCTCGATTTTCATCCGGTAAGTCAGTCAGTCACTCAATTCATAGAATTATTTCTTGGAGAAATTGTTCTCGTACGCACACTCATTGGTGACCATGAATCCTTGGTCACTGGGTGATTAAGAAAACGAGACTCTTATTTATTATTTGCATATGTAAATTCAAAATCATTGATGTCGCAATAGTAGTAACTTTAGTTTAGAACCAATTAAGGATGACAATTTAATCTCTTTTGATTATATGTGACAGTCAAAAGAAAGCATAGATGCAGCTATTGGAGACGTTTTATCGAAACCGTGGCTCCCTCTTCCTCTTGGCCTAAGACCTCCCGCTACCGATACTGTCATGGTGGAGCTACAACGACAGGGAGTTCAGAAATTTCCACCCTCCTGTGCTTGAACCTGAACAGATTGATACCACATTTGATAATGTTGTATCAATCTTGATGGTGTTTGTTCAAGACAACAGAGGTAGAAAACCCCAAATTTGACGACAAGTCCTTTCATAGATAATATTGTACGCATCGACCTGCTCTGCGAGTTTTTTTTCTCTTTCTTTTCTTTTTGGCCCGTCATTTTTCTAGATCTTCTTCCTAAGCTAATTGAGTATAAACTACTTCTTCATTATATGTGTACAAGACACCTTATATTAGCATATATATGTCGGAATAAAGCGAATGATTTTTGGAGTGGTTGCTCTGAGTAAATAAATTACAAGCTTTTTATGCTCAAACACTGTTAATTTGCTTTACTTTCCACAATTATATGATCACGTTTGGTATGATGAAAGAACAAAATGGTAGAATATCAATGCTTTAAAACTAATACATAAAGTTCTTTCAGCCTGGGTATACGTTGAAAGTTGATCTCAATTTCTTGAGTTATCCAATCTAATTCAACCCTAAGTATTAAATTAATCTGGCCTATAAAGGGCAATCTAAAAACATTTAAAATTGAAAGTTAATTAAACGGTTCTGCAATTTGCAGCAGGCTTGCGCAAATGTGGGTGGCTTCCATTCCTTGCATTTGATTGTGGGTGCTCCATAAGTTTGCAGTTTTTTTTCATATCAGTAGCCTTTTCTTTATAAATAACCTAGGGATATATCCCAAGTGGTTAAATGTGACTCAATAAACTCTTCACTATGATAAAACCACATTTGAATTTTTCTCACGCCTTACCCAAGATGCCACAGCAGCTGGGAATTTATATCTCAAAAAACCAACTCAGATTATGCTCCTTAACAAACCAATCCTTTGTTAACAAGGTCCAAACTATAGGTAGCCGGGCACTTGGAAATGCTGTCAACGAGATGAATCGCGTTCTCCATAGGGGATAATTATTGCAGTCAAGTTTGATCGTGAGGAAGTTGTAACATTAGAGGTGGGGGGTTGAAATGGGACTGGCAGCAGCGGAAGTAGACATGATGAGAAGAAAAGTTGTCATTAGAGTTTAGATGGATGATATACCATATAAGAATCTGGGTTTGGTATAATATTGCTCGATCAGGATGGTTAGAGTTGTGTATATAGTGATGTATTTGTTCTCGACCACTTGACAGTGTCCTTAACAATTGAACAACAATGATCCAAATGAAAAGTTGACCTCCCTCATAGTAAAAGACTTTTGCAATTGGCCCTTGAGGCAGTTAGGATTTCGTTTTATGTTGCAAATAACCTGTAAATGTTGTTGTGCCCTAACCCAAAAAACTCTAGTTAGCTTATTGTCACTTTCAATAATTGGATCTTCCCTAACAGTTAGGTAGGCATGACATACCACTAAATCTTTAAGAATGTAAGTTTGACATCTTAATTGGATGAGGATACTCACATCTTAACAGTTCATCGTAAATAGTGCAGCTAGGTTTTGTTAGGTATTATTTTTGTTTAATTTTAAATAAAATTTAAAATTATTTATGCATGCACGAGGTACGATGAACGGTTAGATGAGGATCCCTACGATTTGGATCCGGTTTTGATCCAAATCCATCTTAATTGAACAAGCAAGTGTTTTCAGCCGGTACAATGGGATTCGAAGACTTTTTCAGGAGCACTGCAGTAGTTAAGCCTTCAATAAACAGCCTAAACCTATACTTAGCTTAAAATCATTCGTTGGTTTTTTTGTTTTTTTTGTGAACAAAGAAATTTCATTAACCACAAGGGATGCATAAAGCATGGCAATCTTTCAAAGAAAAAAAAGGCATGGCAATACAACAAATATCTCCAAAGAGAAGGGTTCCACAAATAACATGATCACGTCATAATTCTAATTAGCATAACGGTTGGTTTATTTACTCCACATACTCATACTTTCTACATACCTCCACACTTTCCACGTACACCCTACATTAACTTTGTGTGATCCATATACCTTGTTATAATGTTAAATAATGGTTCTTTTGCTTAACTCTGTTAAAATTTTTGTTCATTTTTTGTCCCTTTAAACACTTTATTTTGGATAGAAGGTCTAACTGAGTTAGCTAAGAGGACAATTGTTTTATATTATAACAAGTTCAAAGACTAATATTCATGACTTTTTAGTTCAGGAATCAAAGCTCTAATGAGCTGAAGTTCAGGAATCATTGGTCAATTGTGCTAAAATTATCTCTTGTTTGATCATGGTCCCATGTTTTAAAATTCTTTTAATTGCGATGATCAAAGCCAAATTGAAGAAAGGAAAACTAGTGAACAAGGTTTGAAAACTTTGAGTTTTAACGATAAGAACAAAATAAAAGATAAAGTGAATAGTATCAGGATTGATTTTTTAGTGTAAAAATGTGGTTTTTCGTTAAAATGAACAGTACCGGAGTTTTTCTTTAAAATTCTCATTAAAGAATTTGTTAAAATACTTGTGTTCAAAAAATAGAAAAATAAAAAAATTGTTAAAATTCAAGGCCCAATACAGCAGCCCATTAACACGGTACAGTGCAGGCCATTTTTCATTTGTATAAAACAGCTGCAGAGGGAGTGAAAAGAGAAAGGAAAAGAAGTGTGAGGTTTTCTTGTTCAAGAGGAAAGCAGAAAGAGGAGAAGCCAAACTTCGACCATGGCACCTCAAGATCCAAACGCCCCAAGCGGCAGCGGCTCCGGCAAGCGCAGTGAGGATTCCGTTAAAGTCCCCGCAACAGATCCCAAGAAGAAAGATGATAAGAAGGATGAGGATTTGGTAAGCGATTCCAGGGGTTAGGGTTTCGTTCACTGCCTGTTTGGTTCTCCAGAAAATTTATTAAGCTGAAGTTCCTGCACCTTGTTCATGTCTATTTGTATCAAAGGCTAGAACTGTGGAATATAAAAATCGAGTTTTTTTTTACTGAATCAAGGTCGTGTTTTTATTTCTTTATTCTTAATTAGTTCATGAGTTGCGATGCGTTCGACTGTTGAATTGATTAACAACGATGTTTACGGTTTAGTATTCTATGAAAATTTGCTTCTTTAACTGAGCTGCATTGGATTCTCGTGCAGTCTGAGGAGGATTTGGAGTTGAAGAACCAATTAGAGTTGTACGTCGAGAGGGTTCAGGATACTGATCCTGGTGTGCAGAAAAATGCTCTGGAGAGTATGAGGTAGACCCTTTTTGCACCCTTAAAAGTTAGTAATTATTGATAATCAAGCTACATGGTTTGTAGTGTAATTAGCTTATAAAATACCCTTGCCTGTCTATGGCACTATGGGTTATCGAATTCTATGTCGCCTATTCTCTCCCTCTCCTGTAATCACTGTCTCTGTGAATTATATTCTATACTTTCTTTCAAGTTTCAATTTTTATTGAGCTGTTTTTAAGGGAATAGAAAAATGTGTAGAATAGAATATTTATGAAATTCTAAGTGAAATTTACTTGATATTCTCAAAAGGGAGCCAAGTATAAATGCAATATTTTCTTCTACAGTGAACTGAATTTCTTGATGCTTTATCTGCTATCTTTTAAGTTATAGCTACAGGGCCATTGAATGAAAGAAATGCGTCTTTGAGCCCTTTATATTTATGATTATTTGTTTTTATGGTAAAGAAACAAAGGTAAAGAGGGGTTGGCTTTGGGTTATTTCATTTTTCTTCCTAGTGAATCTGTAAAGAGGCATTGGTAGTCGGCAGTATATATTACACTATAAAGATCCAAAAGGTTCTTTGGTAGGAAATTGTTTTGTTGCTTGAATGCTGTTGAACCTAGACTCTCTAGAAACCGTAAATTTATGAAAATCAGAGTGGTTTTCTAACTCTGATCAACACCATTACGGCTGTGATGTGTGTGTATGATTATTATGTTATAAATGCAATTTACACCTGAGAGTCATCTGCAATCTTTGGTCAGTGTAGAAAGTGATTGATTTGTTATATTCATTGTTTTACTATTACATAGAAGTTACCATGCTTCTTACCCGGATTGGAACCGGTAATCTTTTCTTATATAGTTGTATCTCATATGGTGTGGCCTGACACAAAATTTCATCTCATAGGCAGGAAATCCGTACCTCAACTAGCTCCATGACTTCAGTTCCAAAGCCATTAAAGTATCTTCGCCCGCATTACGGAACTCTAAAAACTTACTATGAAACAATGGCAGAATCAGAGTTGAAGGTATACTCATCTATATCTCATAGAATATGTATAGTTCATGTATTTGTACCCCGCCAACAACTTTAATAGTTCACTGTAGTTTAATTAATCTACCTTCTCTTACTCGCAGAAATACCTAGCAGATATATTGTCCGTTTTGGCACTCACCATGGCAGCTGAGGGAGAACGGGTATGCTAGATTATTTTAAAATTTCTGTTCAATTATTCTCCTTGTTGGTTGGTTTAGGTTATTGTATTTATACTAGTATCCTTGCTCATTTTAGTTCTGGTTCACTTTCTTTGTGATATTCAAAACTATTGTATTCATCTTGTGTATATGCCCACCACTTACAGGAAAGCTTGAAGTACAGATTGTTGGGTTCAGAGGGTGATATTGGTTCATGGGGACACGAATATGTCAGGTCAGACCAATTTACTTTAGAACTTTCCAGTTGGAAATTTTGTGGTATTATAGTATCATAATTCCCAACCTATTTAGGCTTTTTTGGGGTTTTAAAGGTCCTTTGGAGTAATGTTTGAATGTGTGTTCAGAAGTGGCATACATAAAGATAAATTTGTTCACTAATGATTGACTTTCTTGTTTCTAATCAGGAACTTAGCTGGAGAAATTGCTCAGGAGTTTGCTAAGCGACAGGTTTGATATCTATTCTGTGCATATGAAATAGTAACATTTTTATTTGGAAAGTTACGTTAGGTTGTTCGGAGCATATTTTTACATTGTTCTCAATCATTTCTTTATTGTTTACTTGTGAAATTGAGATTAGCACACTCCTGATTAATATAGCTAGGGTCCAGGGATATGGTCATATGTTTCTGTTGATGTATATGACATGCTGTTGTGTTGGATTGTGTTCAATACCAGTATCCCATGTGTATATTAGTTCCTTAGCCATATCTTCCTTCACTTATCTATTCTTGGTATCCTTAAATTTGTTTCTGGAGATGTGTCAGTAAATAAGCGAGACGAGACAATGTTTCATGTCATTGTTTATGGTCTCCTTATAAAAATTTATTCTAAATTTTTACTTTTTTATACTTGTAACAGGGTGAAGAGGCCCCAATTGAAGAACTAATGGAACTAGTGCAGCAAATTGTTGCTTTTCACATGAAGGTAAGATTCGTAACATCTTTTCGCCTTGATT